ACATTTACTTTTCAAAGTGTAAATTCTCTTCTCTCTATGTATGTACTCTTTGAATACTAAACCATAGGCAAGGGACATTTTAAAAAATGGATTTTTTACTAGCACATGATTGGTTGATTAAAGCAAACGTGGCGTTATCTTATTTACTAAGTTTAATGAACATTCACTTTGCAGTGAACATTCACTTCTCAAAGTTTAAATTCTCTTCTCTCTTAGTGTGTGCTCTTTGAATACTAAACCATAAGCAAGGGACATTAAAAAAATGATTTTTGCTAGGAAATGATTGGTTGATGAAAAGCAAACATGGCGCATTATCTTCTTTACTAAGCTTAGTGAACATTCACTTTGCAGTGAGCATTCACTTTTCAAAGTGTAAATTCTCTTCTTCCTTAGTGTGTACTCTTTGAATACTAAAACATAGGCAAAGGACATTACAAAAAAGTGATTTTTTTTTTTGCTAGCACATGATTGGCTGATTAAAGCAAACATGGCACATTATCTTATTTAGTAAGCTCAGTGAACATTCACTTTGCAGTGAGCATTAACTTTTCAAAGTGTAAATTCTCTTCTCTCTTAGTGTGTACTCTTTGAATACTAAACTATAAGTAAGGGAATAAAAAAACCTGATTTTTGCTAGCGCTTGATTAATCGATTAAAGCAAACATGGCGCGTTATCTTATTTAATGGGATTAGTGAACATTCACTTCACAGTGAGCATTCACTTTTCAAAGTGTAAATTCTCGTCTTCCTTAGTGTGTTTTTCTTTGAATACTATAACATATGCAGAGGACATGAAAAACAAACAAATAGATTTTATTTGCTAGCAAATGATTGGTTGAGTAAAGCAAATATGGTGTCATCTTATTTACTGGGCTTAGAGAACATTCACTTTTGCAGTAAGCATACACTTCCCAAAGTGAATATTCCCTATTCCCTTAGTGTTTTCTTCTGGAAACCCCAACAATGTGCAAGAGAATGTTTAAAAAAAAGGGATGTTTGCTAGCACATGATTGGTTGATTGAAGCAAACTTGGCTTCATCTTATTTATAAAGGTTTAGTGAGCATTCACTTTTCAAAGTGAAAATTCTCTTCTCCCATAGAGTGTTTTCTTTGAATACTCATCTACCTGTAAGGGACATATAAAAAAGACAATATGATTGCTGACACAAGACGCAGCATTTTGTGCCACCTGATTTTCTAAACGTAGTGAACAACATTCACTTTGCAGTGAGCATACACTTTTCACAGTGTAAATTTCCTTTTCCCTTGGTGTTTTCTTTTTGAATCCCCAACCATGTGGCTTAAGGCAAACATGGCTTCATCTTATTTATAAAGGCTTAGTGGGCATTCACTTTTCAAAGTGTAAATTCTCTTCTAATGTAGTGTGTTCTCTTTGAATACTCATCCACCTGCAGAGGAAATAAAAAACAAACAAACATGACACAGGTATTTTGTGCCACTTATTTACTAAACTTAGTGAACATTCACTTTGGAAAGTGAGCATTCACTTTGCAAAGTGTAATTTCCCTTCTATGTGATGTTTTCTTTTTGAATACCCAACCATTTGCCAGAGAAAAAGAAAAGGATTTTTGTGTGTAAAAAAGCAAAGTGATTGCTGACACATGATTCAGTATTTTGTGCCAACTGATTTACTAAACTTAGTAAACATTCATTCTGCTAAGTGAGCATTCACTTTTCACAGTGTAATTTCCCCTTTTCATGATGTGTTCTCTTTGAATACCCAACCATGTGCAACAGGCAAAAAAGGGTTTTTGCTTGTAAAACAGCAAGATGATTGCTGACACATGATTCAGTATTTTATGCCACCTTATTTACTAAGATAAGTGCGCATTCACTTATCAAAGGGTAAATTCTCTCCTCTCATAGTGTGTTCTCTTGGAATACTCATCCAAATGCAAAGGAAATAAAAAATCAACAGCAACATGACACAGGTCTCAGTATTTTGTGCCACCTGTTTACTAAACTTAGTGAACATTCACTTTCAAAGTGAGCATTCGCTTTACAAAGTGTAATTTTCCTTCTATATGATGTGTTCACTTTGAGTGTGCAAGATAAAAAAAAAAAATTTTTGCTGGTAAAAAAGCAAAATGATTGCTAACACATGATTCCGTATTTTGTGCCAACTGATTTACTAAACTTAGTAAACATTCATTACTACTAAGCGAGCATTCACATTTCAAAGTGCAATTTCCCCTTTTCATGATGTGTTCTCTTTGAATACCCAACCATGCGCAAGAGGCAAAAAAGGGTTTTTGCTTGTAAAAAAGCAAGATGATTGCTGACACATTATTCAGTATTTTGTGCCACCTTATTTACTAAGATAAGTGAGCATTCACTTTTCAAAGGGCAAATTCTCTCCTCCCATAATGTGTTCTCTTTGAATACCAAACCACACACAAGGGACTTTAAAAAACTGGATTTTTGCTAGCACATGATTGGTTGATTAAAGCAAACATAACTTCATCTTATTTATAAAGGCTTATAAATATAAATAAATAAATAAATATAAAGGCATTCACTAATCAAAGTGTAAATTATCTTCTCCCTTTGTGTGGTCTCTTTGAATACTTATACATTTGAAAAGGTAAGAAAAAAAAAAAAAAAAACCATGACTCATGATTCAGTATTTTGTGCCACCTGATTTACTAAACATAGTGAACATTCATTCTACAAAGTGAGCATTCACCTTCCAAAGTGCCATTTCCCTTCTCCATTATGGGTACTCTTTGAATGCCCAACCATGTAACCATGGCTTCATCATATTTATAAAGGCTTAGTGAGTATTCAGTTTTCAAAGTGTAAATTCTCTTCTCCCTTAGGGGGTTATTTACATGGCACACAATTTGGTGCAGCCCTGCATAGAAACCAATCAGCTTCCAGGTTTTATTTCCAAAGCTTAACTGAACAAGCTGAAGCTAGAAGCTGATTGGCTGCCATGCACAGCTGTACCAGATTCTGAATGAACCAGTTTTAGCAAATCTCCCCCTTGTTCTCATTGGTTGCTCATCCACATGCAAAGGAAATTAAAAAGAACAGGATGATTGCTGACATTGGATTCAGTATTTTGCACCACCTTATGTACTAAACACAGTGAACACTGATGTTACAAAGTGAGCATTCACTTTTCAAAGTGTAATTTCCCTTCTCCTTTATGTGTTTACTTTGAATACTATGTACACGAGAAAAAAAAAAAAGGATTTTTTTGCTAGCACCTGACTGATAGAATCAAACATGGCTTGATATTATTAATTAGGCTAGTGAACATTCATGTTATAAAGTGAGCATTCACTTTCAAAGTATAATTTCCCTTCTCCATTATGGGTTCACTTTGAATACTTTGTACATGAGGAAAAAAAAGGATTTTTGCTAGCACCCGACTGATTAAATCAAACATGGCTTGATCTTATTTATTACGCTAGTGAACATTCATGTTACAAAGTGAGCATTCACATTTCAAAGTGTAATTTCCCTACTCCATTATGTGTTCAATTTGAATAAAATGTACCCGAGAAAAAAAAAGGATTTTTGCTAGCACCCAATTGATCAAATCAAACATGGCTTGATCTTATTTATTACGCTTGTGAACATTCATGTTACAAAGTGAGCATTCACTTTTCAAAGTGTAATTTCCCTTCTCCATTATGTGTTCTCTGTGAATACTATGTACACGAGAAAAAAAAAAGGATTTTTTGCTAGCACCCGACTGATTGAATCAAACATTGCTTGATCTTATTTATTACGCTTGTGAACATTCATGTTACAAAGTGAGCATTCACTTTTCAAAGTGTAATTTCCCTTCTTTAATATGTGTTCACTTTGTATACTATGTACACGAGAAAAAAAAAAGGGAGTTTTGCTAGCACCCCGATTGATTAAATCAAACATGGCTTGATTTTATTTATTACGCTTGTGAACATTCATGTTACAAAAGGAGCATTCACTTTTAAAAGTGTAATTTCCCTTCTTTAATATGTGTTTTCTCCATGTGCTAGAGAAGTAAAAAAAAAAAAAAAAGGATTTTTGTTAACTTCTGATCTGTTGATTAAATCAAACATGACTTCATCTTAGTTACTAAGCTTAGTGAACATTCACTTTTCAAAGTATAACTTCCCCTCTCCCCTAGTGTGTCCTCTTTCAAACTCCGACCATGTGCAAGAGAAATTAAAAAAAAAAAGTATTTTTGCTCGCACATGATTGGTTGAGTAAACATGGGTTCATCTTATTTACTAAACTTAGTGAACATTCAGTTTTCAAAGTGTAATTTCTCCTCTCCGTTATATAAGAGAAATTAAATTAAAAAAAAGGACTTTTACAAGCACATAATTGAGGGTTCAATCAAACATAGCTTCATCATATTTACTAAACTAAGTGAATTTTCACTTTCCAAATGTAAGTGTAATTTTCCCTCTCTTTTGGTATGTTCTCTTTGAATATCAAATCATATGCAAAGGAAATAAAAAAATGGATTTTTGCTAGTATATGATTGGTTGATTAAAACAAACATGGCTTCACCCTATTTACAAAGCTTAGTGAACATCCACTTTGCATTGAGCATTCACTTTTACATTCACTTTTTCAAAGTGATAATGATCTCCCCCCTTAGTAAATGATGGGAAAAGAGTGAACCTTTGCAATGCCACTTTGTACTGGCCAGTGAGATATTGCTGACAGGTCATCCAATTGTTCTTGTTACATTGTTGTCCTGTTGAGTTCCACCATACTGTGCAGGAGAATAGGTCCTGATTTATGAACAGTGGAGCAAAGAAAGCTGAATGCTTTTTTTGTTTTTTTCAAAGCGACCAATCACGTTTCTTCTCTTTGCTGGAAAAACTAAAACTTGATTGGTTGTTGCTTGATTTTTACTTTGCTGAAGTTTTCATAGATGGACCCTTAGAGTTTTGCTGTTAGATTTCTCTTATAGGAAAGTATATTTTATTGCTTTAAAAATGTATTACAGGTACTTATATAGCATCCAGGGGCAGACTGACAACTCATGGGGCCCCCGGGCAATAGGGGATCATGGGGCCCCTGTGTCCTTGCCTAAACTCAAAAAAGCCTATGAAAAAGGTACCAGGGGCATCTCATGGGGCCCCCTACTGACCTGGGCCCTCAGGCAGTGCCCGAGTTTCCAAATGGTCAGGTGGAAGTGCTAACCATTTAGCTAGATATTAGTTTAGTAAATAAGGTGGGAGATGTTCACTTGGAATACACAATGATGTGCAAGGGGAAAAAAAAGTTGCTGACACGTGAATCAGTATTTGAACTGAACACAGTTAAGAATAGTGAACATTCACTTTGCAAAGTCATCATTTACTTTTAAAAGTGAAATTTCTCTTCTCCCTTAGTAAATCATGAGTGAAACCTTTGATCAAAAACTAGCCAGCGATGTAATGCCGTCAGTCATCCCGTTGTTCTTGTTACATTGTTGCTCCATTGAGTTCCACCATAAAGAAGGATCAGTGACACACAGGGGTGGACTGACAACTCATGGGGCCCCCGGGGCAATAGGGGACCATGGGGCCCTTGTGTCCTTGCCCAAACTCAAAAAAGCCTATGAAAAAGGTACCAGGGGCATCTCATGGGGCCCCCTACTGACCCCGGGCCCTCGGGCAGTGCCCGAGTTTCCAAATGGTCAGTCCACCCCTGGTGACACCCAGGGGCGGACTGACAACTCACGGGGCCCCCGGGCAATAGGGGACCATGGGGCCCCTGTGTCCTTGCCCAAACTCAAAAAAGCCTATGAAAAAGGTACCAGGGGCATCTCATGGGGCCCCCTACTGACCCCGGGCCCTCGGGCAGTGCCTGAGTTTCCAAATGGTCAGTCCGCCCCTGGTGACACCATACATTTTTCTTCAAAGCAGCCAATCACCTTCCTAGCCTTAGTTAGAAAAGCTAAGCCCTGGTTCACACCAATGCGATTTGAAAGTTCAAAATCGAATGACAAGTCGTACCCCATTTGCGGCAACGGAACTGTTCAAATCCTTGCAACTCAAGTCGGGGGGGTGACTTTGAAAAAGGTTCCTGCACTACTTTTCTACGATTTCATTGCGACTTGCATTGACTTCTGTTAAATGAAGTCGCAAGCCGCAATGAAATTGGACATCCCAATCGCAACGATCTGCGGTTTTGAAATCGTACGGAAGTAGCATGATTTTGAAGCTGCTCTACAGTGAACCAGATCTAAGACCTGATTGGCCGTTGCTTGATTTTACTTCCCTGAAGTTTTCCTAGATGAACCTCTACAATTTGCTGTTAAAGTTTTGTTATACACAAGCCACACTGTCAGGGGCGTCCCTAGGGTTGGTGTCACCTGGTGCAGTAACACGTGGTGTCACCCCTCTAGAGGTGGGTGGTCCCTGTCATGCACAGCCTGGCTCTTCCCCTCCCTGTCCCCCCCCCATCCCGGACCGGTGTTCCAAGATCATTTAACCCTGTTTAGGTTGCAAGCCAACAATCCCCACAAGATGGATCAGATCTGCGGTAACACGTGGTGTCACCCCTCCAGAGGTGAGTGGTCCCTGCCGTGCACACACAGCCTGGTTCTTCCCCTCCCTGTGTCCCCCCCCCCCGGACTGGTGTTCTAAGATCATTTAACCCCGTTTAGGTTGCAAGCCAACAATCCCCACAAGATGGATCAGATCTGCGGTAACACGTGGTGTCACCCCTCCAGAGGTGAGTGGTCCCTGCCGTGCACACACACATTATGCTCCACAATCCACAGATCCGATCCATCTTGCGGGAATGGTCGGCTTCCAACCTATACGGGGTTAACTGATCTTGCAACACCGGTCCGGGGGGGGGGGGGGGGGGGCGACGACACAGGGAGGGGAAGAACCAGGCTGTGTATGCACGGCAGGGACCACCCACCTCTGGAGGGGTGACACCATGTGTTACCGCAGATCCGATCCATCTTGCAGGGATTGTCGGCTTTACCTTTTGGTGTCACCCCGTGAGATAGGTGTCACCCGGAGTGGCGCGCACCCCCCGCACCCACCTAGGGACGCCACTGCATACTGTAATTGAATGGTATTACAAATTCCCTTTCCTTTTCAGTCTGCAGCTCTGTCATTTTCTGGAAAATGCAATATGGCAACCCACATCAGTCCCTAAACCTCAAGGGGTGTACAATCTATGGTCCCTAACTCACATTCATACATACACATACTAGGGCCAATTTAGACAGGAGCCAATTAACCTACCAACATGCCTTTGGAGTGTGGGAGGAAACCGGCATACCCGGAGGAAACCCATGCAGGTACAGGGAGAACATACAAACTCCAGGCAGGTGGTGCTGTGGTTGGGATTTGAACCAAAAAAACCCGAGTACTGCCATGCAGGAGTGCTAACCGTTTAGCCACTGTGCTGCTGCGAGATACTGACAAAGGGAAATCATGTCTAATGCTGGCCATTTTTTCCGAATAACAAAAGGTAGGAATTTGCAACAAAGTTTGTTAAAACCCTTGCAATATATATTGATCACCCAGAGGGGAATGTTTTTTTTTCTCAACAACAAAATGGAATTACCCTTTTTTAAAAGGTTTAAGGAGTTACTCTTTAATAATCAGGATTTTTGCAGGCACATAATTTGGTTGGTTAAAACAAACAGCTTCACCTTCTTTACTAAGCTCAGTGACCAATCACTGAGCAGTTTTTGCTCCTCGGGGGCTGATTTATTAACCACTTGCCTACTGGACACTTATACCCCCTTCTTTACCAGGCCAATTTTCAGCTTTCAGCGATGTCGCATTTTGGATGACAATTGCGCGGTCATGCAACATTGTACCTATGTGAAATTTTTATCATTTTTTTCTCACAAATAGAGCTTTCTTTAGGTGGTATTTACTTGCCGTTGGGGGTTTTATTTTTTGCGCTATAAACAAAAAATAGAAAACAATTTGAAAAAAAGGTTTCTTTGTTTCTATTATAAAATTTTGCAAACAGGTAATTTTTCTCCTTTACGGATGTGCGTTGATGAGGCTGCACTAATAAGCAGCACTGATGGACACTGATAGGCAGCACTGATGGACACTGATAGGCAGCACTGAAGGGCACTGATAGGCGGCACTGATAGGCAGCACTAATGAGGTGGCACGGATAGGCGGCACTGATAGTCAGCATTGATAGGCGGCACTGACTGGCAGCACTACTGGGCACTGACTAGCATAACAGCTGGGCACTGACTGGCGCAACTGCTGGGCACTGACTAGCATAACAGCTGGGCACTGACTGGCAGCACTGCTGGGCTGCACTGATGGGCACTTGGGGGTGGCACTGATGGGCACAGGTGGGTGGCACTGATGGGTAGAGTTGGGTGACACAGGTGGGTGGCACTGATGGGCACAGGTGGGTGACACAGGTGGGTGGCATTGATGGGCACAGGTGGTTGTGGCACAACTGGGCACTGGTGGGTGGCACCGCTGGGTGGCACTGCTGAGCACAGGTGGGTGGAACTGGTGGGTGGCACTGCTGGGCACCGATTATCAGGACACTGATCATCAGTGCCCTGATGATCGGTGCCGATCCCTGCTCTGACAATTGCCGGTTCTCGGCAGTACTTTCCCCACATTCTGACAGCGTGAGGAAAGTGCAGCCGAGAACCGGCAATTGCATTTCCCTGTGATCAGCAAGTCATTGGACACGGCTGATCACGTGGTAAAAAGCCGCTGTGATTGGCCTTTTACCAAATCACGTGATCAGCTGGGTCTGTAGGACACAGCGATCATGGAGGAGAGCGCGTTCTGGGAGGATGTCATATGACGCCCTCCCAGAACTGGCCGGCCGCAGTGTAGCCATCATTCAGCTATCTGCGGTCGGTAACTGGTTAAGGACAAATAGGCTGTTCACTTTGTAAGGGAATTCACCCTGAGTCTTAGTGAGGCAAAGCTCTGCTGTCTTCCATCATCCAATCATGCGCAAGCAAAATGCTGTTTGTTTTTTTTTTTTTTTTTTTAATTTTCCTTGCAAGTGATTGGGTATTCTTTGCAAAGTGAAAATTCACCACATTCACTCAGCTATGAGGAAAATTCCCTTGCAAAGTGCAACTTACCTTGCAAAGTGAACATCCTTTTTGCCTTTCGTAAATCAACCCCTATGTGTCCAGGTTCCCTGCTAGGTCACTTTGACTAATAACTCACCAGATCAGATCATCAGATCACTAGGTGAAAACAGAGGGAAGAAACCTAAAAAAGAAAACTACTGCAGCCACCACATCTAATGTTTGGTAAACTGTACCCAAACATAAAACACTACTACTTTAAAAAGGGAGCTAAGGAGGTCCCTGATCCAGTTATGAAATGCTGAGGGGGAGTGGTTCTGGTGACCAGGGGCGGACTGACAATTCATGGGGCCCCCGGGCAATAGGGGATCATGGGGCCCCTGTGTCCCAAACTCAAAAAAGCCTATGAAAAAGGTACCAGGAGCATCTCATGGGGCCCCCTACTGACCCTGGGCCCTCGGGCAGTGCCCGAGTTTCCAAATGGTCAGTCCGCCCCTGCTGGTGACACACTGCTCCTAAAAGTGTCAAAGTGGTAGTAAACCTGAGAACAAACATTTATTATATTGCAGCTTACCAATTCTTAGATGTGATGGCTGCATTTGTTTTCTTTCTTAGGCTTTCTTTCTTCTATTTTCACCTGGTGATCTGGCCTGTAAGTCTGATGTTTTACAGCAGAACAAGCTCTCTTGCAGATGTATCACTTGCAGAGGTAAGACAAACCATTTAGTACTAGCAGGGGTGCGTGCAACGTTTTTATTTATTTATGTAAAACCTATATACCAAAAGAAAAAAAGCTGTTTGCTGTAACTGCTTATAAAGTATTAGCTGGAGTTTGACTTCATTTTATTAGTGTATTTAAATCTGCTAGTACTTCTAATATTCCCCTCCACCCAGACTGACAAAGCTGCTGTCTAAAAGTGCCCCCTGTGCTCCTTCATCCAAAGTGAGGGCACTCTAATACAGGAGGTGCGTTACTGGCCAGATCACCAGGTGAAAACAGAGGGGAAAAAAGTCTAAAAAAGAAATCAAATGATTTATAAGCTGCAATATATTACTTTTTTTTTTGTTTTGGGTTTAGGGCCGGAAGGCGCCAGCGTGAAGGGGTTAAAGAAAAACTATGGGCAAATTTTTGGATAGAGTAAGGAATGGTTAAAACTCCTGTAAGTTTTTTTTGTTGTCACCTGCATTCCATTGGGGAGATTTCCCTTCACTTCCTGTCCCATAGCCAAAACAGGAAGTGAGAGAAAATCCCTGCAAATTAAGGGAACTTTGTTCCTTCCCCAGGTTACTAGAACTAGTGTCCCCATTGGAAGATTTCCCCTCTATTACTTTTCTGGGGACAACCCAAAATTTGGGATTTTGTTTTATTTTCACTTTCAATGTAAATGGTAAACAAATAAGACAAATAGAGAGGGTGAATCTCCCAACGGGGGATCAGACAGCAGTAAAAACTGACAGATGTTCTAATCAATCTCCACTCTATCCAAAACTAAAAAAAAAAAAAGTTTTGCCTTCAGTTATACTTTAAAGTATAACTAAAGGCAACACTTTTAAAAAAATTTTGGATAGAATGGAGAGGGATTAGAACAGCTGTCAGTTCTTAATGATTCCCCGTTAGGAAGATTCCCCCCTCCATGCATCCTGCTTACCAATATTAACGAGAGTGAAAGTAAAAGAACACTTCAAATTTTGAGTTGTCACCAGAACAGGAAAACAGGGGAAACCTTCCCATGTCTAGTGAGAACCAGGGATTACCTTATTTTGATTAGATTTCCTCTCACTTCCTGTTTTACTTATGGGACAGGAAGTGAAGGGAAACCTCCTCAATGGAACACAGATGGCAAAGGGTTATAACAGAATGACAAGGGTTATAACCCTTCCTTACGCAAAACTTAAAAATACAAAAAAAGGTTTGCCTTGAAATTTCACTTTGACCTAAACATACAACATTGTCATCTCATAAAATGAACAACTGCTTGTACTGAACAATGTAATTTGTATTGAGTATTTCAATCCTAAATAAAAAAACTATTTATAGTTTGACTGTGCTACAGGAATTTAAGGGACGTCTCCCGTATGGGACACAAATGGCAAAAAGACCTCTCTTACTATCCAAAATGAGAAAAAAAAATAAACAAAAAGTTAAAAAAAAATGTTTTGCCTTTAATTCTACTTTAACGCCAGTGTAAATAATAAAATAAACATGCAATGTAATCTCCTTGAGGGTTAGGGACTGATGTGAATGTACCATACATGTGTAAATCGCTGCATAAATTAACGACGCTATATAATTACCTGAAATAAATAAATAAATAAATGTAGAAGTGCTGTGCTATACATCGGAACAAATATAAATGAATTGAATACATCAATAAACAAATAAATACACAATATTTTCCATGTGATTCAAGTGGCAAAACTTGTATCACATATATAAAAGGTCCACAGTAGACGTACAGTCCACCATTTGCATATATAGGTAGTAAAACGTGATATTCCACAACTCTTCTCCCATGTAACACCTTGTGTCCTCCACCATACCACACACTGAGGCTTACCGAGGGGTGTGTGATTCTCACGCAAGAAGTCAAACAGCGCTCATTGTGAAGAATGGTAAAATGGCACTCTGCGGCTCCCATCATAACTTCTCCTCCAATGACTCAACAACATAGCAGGGGATATAAAACAGAGCGCAAGTTTGCAATAGTGTAAAATCCAGATGGAAAAATTATTGTAAAATTATTAGATGGAAAAACAGGTAAAAAACACTTTAATAAACACCTGTAAAAAGCATTTAGCAAAAACGAGAACTCCCAGAATTCCGAGTATCAAAGCGTGCATGCGCGGTGACGTCACGGCTTCTGTCTCGGCCCTACGCGTTTTGTCAAATATGACATCATCAGGGGCATCAGTGTGTTAAATTGTTGTGGGTGTCACGATGCACAACCTATATAGACTGAGGGGTTTATTTACTAAAGCTGGTTCACTCAGAATCTTGTGCACTTCTGTATGAAAACCAATCCGCTTCCAGGTTTTATTGCCTAATTCAACAAGCTGAAGTCAGAAGCTGATTGGCTACCATGCCCAGGTGCACAAGATTCCGAGTGAACAAGGTTTAGTAAATCTCCCCCTGTATGTCTGCTGTGGATTTTTTATGCACTTTTTTGCCACTTTAATCAATATAGATGTTATTGTGCTTTTATATGTTTATTGCTGTACTTGATTTATTTATATTTGCATTTCTGCATTGCATGTCTGTTATATACTGTGTCCTGTATTTGGTGCTAGCAGCTATATTTGCACATATTTTTTTACACAGTGTTTTTTTTTTTTTTTTTGGAGTTCTGAAACCTCTAGTGCGTTGCAGAGGCGTAGCTAGGGGGGGCAGGGGGTTACATATGTACCTGGGCTCCAAGGTACAGGGGCGCTAAAATGAGGCTTACAACCAGGGGCGTATTTGCTGCAAGGCAAACAAGGCGCTTGCATAGGGTGGCACTTTTTAGGGGGGCGGCAGCTCCTTCCAACGGAAGGGACACTTAGTACAGGGGCAGGCTGCTGTGTCTTACCTGGCTCCATGTCCCAGTCCCATGATGATCCAGTCCAGGAGGCACTGCTGGAGGAGGGGTGGAGAGGTCCGCAGATCCGGTGTCTTCTTTTCCCTGGACGCGATGTGTGGGCGTGATGACATGCTGCTCCTGTCATCTGGCCACATCCTCAGGATCACTGGACAGCCTATGGCAGCTTGTACCTCCCTCTGCAAGCTCCGCCTCCTCACCGGTGATTGGATGCCAGAACTGTAGCTCAGGAAAGGCACACAGTCGGCCAATCACCTGTGAGGGAGCGGAGCTTGGAGAGGAGGAGCAGAGCAGCAGCACAAAGATCGAGTGAGGGAGCGGCAGGAGCAAGTGAAGAAGACAGCTGACCGGTAAGTGTACTGTGCAGATGGTGCTGCTGCAACCAGGTATGCTGGCTGTGGATGGGAGCGGGGAAGGAGCCTAGGCTGGAGCAAAGGTCAGCAAGGTAAGTGTCATTGGTGTCAGTGGGAGGAATAGTGCCCCATCATTGGTGTCACTGATGTATTTAAACGGGGAGGGGGGCTTGGGCGCCAATTTTATAGTTCGTCCCCGGGCGCAAAATATCCTAGCTACGCCTCTGGTGTGGGTGTCTTTCACTGTTTTATTATAAAATAATAAAATTATATATATAATAATAATAATAATAAAAAAAATGTGTTTTAGTAACAGTTTGTTGTCAGCAGTGCTTCAAACATCCACATTTTATCATTCATGAGTTTTTTATTCAACACATGATTTATTCCCTCTAAAGGGACAATTTACTAAAAGAGTCTTTTGCCCCCTCTAAACAAGGTTATGAATTGGTGTTGATTTTAAATTCCTAACCACATACAGTGACATTTAGAGAAACGTTCCCCCTGTACATGAAGTGAACACAGATCCCCTAGTTCAGTAGTAAATAAAGCTCTGCATGTCCATCCCTGACCATATAATGCATGGAGAAGCTGGGATGAAGGTGTCCAGGAGGCAGTCCTGGTGTCAGGGTGTTCAGACGATTGGGCACACCAGCAGACACCTATTGGAAAATGTCTGAAGAAGATTAATAGGAGGTGTCAGGGAGGGGAAAGCCCAGATTTGCTCTACATTCCTAGCAGCTCCAGATGAATTACTGATGATCCTCGCTATCCCTATCATTAGACACTACATCAAACTGAGCACTTATCTCCAATCTAAAATTCCACATTGCTTAAGAAAACAATATTAGATTTGAGAAGAATTTAGTGGGGATGTAATTGGAGAAGGGCCAGAGAAGTACTGTTTGTGTGCTCAGACTACAGCCACTAATCTGCCAAGTGACAAGTAACCATTCAAAGTCATTTTCTGCAGCTTTAATCAGTAGAACACATTTAATCGCACATTTTTCGTTCCCCTTTCAAAGGCACTAACAGTTTTTACATAATATATATGACAGAAGAGAAATAGCACTAATTTAACAATATTTCAAATTACGATACTGGAAAAAATATTTGGTGTCAGATTTACTTTCAATTTTATAAATCTGTTTATAAATGTACTCTTTGGAAAGGATAATTCAGTGGAGGCAACATGATTTTAAATCCACATAGGAAGCAACACGCAGCCATTGCACTTTGCTGAGAATATAGGACCTTTTGTATAAGTTCATAGCCCGGAGATTGTTAGAATTTAATGCTCCTCCGTAGCCATACAAGCAGATACAATTACTCTACCACCCCACACTTAGTACGGTTGACCATTTGCACAAGACCTTATCCAAGTGGTGGTTATAATCTATTGCCCTACCATAGCCATACAAGCAGATACAATTACTCTACCACCCCACACTTAGTACGGTTGACCATTTGCACAAGATCTTATCCAAGTGGTGGTTCTAATCTATTGCCCTACCATAGCCATACAAGCAGATACAATTACTCTACCACCCCACACTTAGTACAGTTGACCATTTGCACAAGACCTTATCCAAGTGGTGGTTATAAATCTATTGCCCTACCATAGCCATACAAGCAGATACAATTACTCTACCACCCCACACTTAGTACGGTTGACCAT